CGGGGGGCTCCCATGGAAGCGATGGCAGGAGAAGCACTGTAGCCTCCTGTGTGGCTCCCCTGGGCTTGGGATCCACGCTCCGGAGCCGGCCGTGTCCTCAGCTGCCCTGACCACCCTCCCCCAGGAAGCGGCTTCTCGGACAGCTTTTGAGGAGCCCGGGTCCCAGCAGCAGTGACCCCTGAGGCTCCTTTCTTGTCTTCCCCCTACAGGTACCCTTGGGGTCAGGAAGCCTTTGATAAAGCAAAGAAAGAAAATAAGCTGATATTCCTGTCAGGTAACCAGAACCAAGACATGTTTTGTGTTGCCGTGTTGTTCAGTAGATGACCAGGTCAGCTCAGGCTGGGTCCTGAGCTGGTGTGCCAGCGGCCACGTGGGCAAGGACGAACACTGGGTGGTCCATGTGCTTTAGTAGCTCTTGCTGAAGATGGGCTGCGTCCAGGGGCCCTCCTAGCTACCGGAGTCCTTGGCCAGATCTTAGAAGCAAGAGCTGGAGAGCCCAGGAGAACCTGTGGCCTCCATGCTTGCAGGAGGCCTTTCTCCATCTCTTCTGCAAGGGGCCAGCAGCTGTTACCCCATAGCAGAGTTTCCCGCCTCTGAGCTACCTCCCCATAGCACGTGTCCTGCTCCCTGCCAAGGGCCTTTCCTCACTCGCCTGAGCTTGTTTTCAGTTGGCTACTCCACCTGCCACTGGTGCCATGTGATGGAGGAGGAGTCCTTCAAGAACAAGGAGATCGGGGAGATTATGAACAAGAACTTTGTGTGTATCAAAGTGGATCGTGAGGAGCGGCCAGATGTGGACAAAGTGTACATGACCTTTGTGCAGGTAAGGGAGGCACAGGCAGGGCTTTGACTGGCTCTCAAGGTGAGGTTCATGGTCATATTCCTCAGGCAAGAAGAACCAGTATGTGGAGTGGTCTGAATGGGGTCATGCGTGATCACAAGGGGGAAGAGAAGCGCACGTCTGTCCTCAAGTGAGGCATGAGCGTGTGCCAGAGGGACACAGAGCAGAGGGTGCCTCTTGTGTGACCTTGGTGCACCCATGGTTTGTCTTTCAGGCGACCAGCGGTGGAGGTGGCTGGCCGATGAGCGTCTGGCTGACTCCAGACCTCAAGCCCTTTGTAGGGGGGACGTACTTCCCTCCTGAAGACGGAGTTCATCGCGTTGGCTTTCGCACTGTGCTGCTCCGAATCGCAGAGCAGGTACGGAGCAGGAACGGTGGAGCAGGCAGCGCTCAACTGAAAGGGCACCGGGGAAATTGGTCCGGGCTTGACGGGTGACTGAGTGAAGAGAGACAGTCATGAGAAACAGTAGCCCAGAGAACGTGTCAGAGCTTTGGCTGGATTAGAGATGGGTTGGAACTGACCTGGGGAGGGGGACCGAGAACTGAAGGTGCATTTGGGACTGGTGCAAGGCAGGAAGCAGAGAGAGAGAGACAAAAAATGGCAGAACTGACTTTCTCGCTCCATGTCTTAGTGGAAGGAGAACAAAGATGCCCTGTTGGAGAACAGCCAGAAGATCCTGGAAGCATTGCTACACAGGTCTGAGATCCGTGCACGGGGCCAGGAGTCACCCCCACCATCCAAAGAGGTGATGGCCACCTGTTTCCAGCAGCTCTCCAACTCCTATGATGAGGACTACGGCGGCTTTTCCGAATCCCCCAAGTTCCCCACCCCAGGTCAGTCTCGCCGCTGCTGCTGTGCCCGGCTGCGGGGCAGTGTTGTGGTTTAACCCCAAACATCACTTAGCCGCTCGCTCACCCTCCCCCACCACTGGGGAATGAGGAAGAGAATAAAGGGGAAAAGGGAAGGAGACTCGTGGGTTGAGATAAGAACAATTTAATAATAATATAAAATTAGAAGTAATAATGATAAAATAATAATAAAATATGAAAAAATATATAGACAATAATATATATGAACAAGTGATGCACAGCATAATTGCTCAGTACTCGGTGACCAATGCTTGTCCTGGCAACTGATTCTGAGACAGATGAGTCCCAACACCATAATCCTGGACGAGTGAGAGGCCTGAAAAGAGGCAGAGAGAGAGAGAGAAAGAGAGAGAACTCGGAGAGACTGAGAGTCCAAGAGAGCTCTTGGAAGAGAAAGAATGATTCCAATTTCCCAATCAACCCTCGTCTCTACACTGGGCATGACATTCCATGATATGAAATACTCCCTTGGCCAATTTGGCCCTCAATCCTAAGTCTCAGTTCAAATCACAAGGGCAGTTGTTGCCCCTTTGTCCTGACCATGCCTCCCCCACCCGTTGTGCTCCTGCACCCTGGCAAACATGGGGAGCTGGAAAGTCCTTGATGTCTCAGTGCCAGCTGTGAACATCAGTGTGCTGTCAACATCCTTCTCATAACAAATCCCAGAGTAAATCCAAAACACAGAGCTCTTCTACCTGCTAAAAAGAAAAACTAACTCTGTTGCAGCCGAAACCAGGACAGGTGGGCAGTGCCGGGGGGGAAGAGCCCTCCCCCCCAGCCTCCCATTTTCTCCCTGTATTTCAGTGAATTTGAATTTCCTCTTCACGTACTGGGCCCTGCACCGAACGACTCCAGAAGGTGCCCGGGCACTGCAGATGGCTCTGCACACCCTCAAGATGATGGCCCATGGGGGCATCCATGACCACATCAGTCAGGTAGGAGGAAAGCCTCGGGGGTAAACCCCCGGCATGCCCGGGAGGCGTGGGGTGGAGGCATGGGGTGGAGACGTGTCCACTTGATCTTTACAGGGTTTTCACCGCTACTCCACCGACCAGCACTGGCATGTGCCTCACTTTGAGAAGATGCTGTACGACCAGGGGCAGCTGGCAGCCACGTATAGCAGAGCCTTTCAGGTAGAGCCGCGGCATCCCTCTGCGGGGCCTTGCTCGGTGTGCGGAGGGCTGGCTGGTTTGGGGAGCAGCTTCAAAGCCTGCTCCCCAAGATGGTGCCCATCCCATGGGCATGGAGCGGTCCTGTACTCCCCATCATCCACCAGTCTTTGTCCGTACAGGAACACTGCACAAATCCATGACAGTTTAGCCCCAGGGTTCTGAGCATAACGAGGAGGGTAACAGCCTTCTGGCTGGTCTTTGCAAGCCAGCAAACACGTGCTGCTGCCTCTGACCTTGGCGTAACTCCAGGGTTGCTCTCCAGTGCCCGTAGATTTCTACCAGAGATCTTACTCTGAATCCATCCCACGTTTAAAATCCCTGGACTTTTGAATGTGTTTCCTCTCCTTTGCCAGCTCTTTAAATCTAAATCTCTTATTATACCTTGCTGTGCCTCTTGCTTCCCCCCTGCCCCCTTGTACAATCAACGTGCCCCCGTGCCTCCCGCAGATCTCTGGCGATGAATTCTTTGCCGATGTTGCCCGAGACATTCTGCGCTACGTCTCACGGGACCTGAGTGACCAGGTAGGTTGTTCCCTGGGCTGGGCCAGAGGCAGACGCTTACCCTGCCCTGGGCCATGGCTCGGGGCTGCTTTTCCCTCTCTCCCTTCCCACTGACCTCCGTCTGGGGCACTTCTGGGGCTTGCTGGCCGGACTGTCAGCCCCACAGTGATGGGGAGTCAGCCAAAGGTGCTGTCACAGTAGCTGGAGGGTCTCTCTGTTGCTCTTTTCCCAGGCAGGAGGTTTCTACAGCGCAGAAGATGCCGATTCCTACCCAACCATGGCGTCCAAAGAGAAGCGAGAAGGAGCTTTCTGTGTGTGGGCAGCCGAGGAAATCCGGGCTCTCCTTCCTGACCCTGTTGAGGGGGCCACGGAGGGGACAACCCTGGGAGATGTCTTCATGCACCACTACGGAGTGAAGGAGACTGGCAACGTGAGCCCCATGAAGGTGAGAGAGAGCAACGATCTGCTGGGTGCCGGGAGCATCGGTGGGGTACCCACACCCCTGAGCATGGAGGGATGGCAGAGCATCCTGAAAGCACGTGGGGTTCAACCCCTCCTTACCTGATGATGTTTGTAGAATAGGGCTCTCCTTTCAGGACCCCCATCAGGAGCTGAAGGGCAAGAACGTCCTTATTGTGCGGTGCTCCCTGGAGCTGACGGCGGCCCACTTTGGGCTGGAGCCAGGGCAGCTGGGTGCCCTGCTGCAGGAGGGCCGACGGAGGCTGGCGGCAGCCCGGGCACAGCGACCACGGCCACACTTGGACACCAAGGTGCTGGCGGCGTGGAATGGTGAGAGGTGGCTCAGCCCCGGGGAGTGCATGCCTTGGCCGGACGCCTCCACGGCTGCCCAGGGTTGGCATGTTTTGGGGGGCTGCTGGGACTGGACAGGCCCCACGGAGGCAGTGGGTGGGCTGGGGTCCAGGGCTGTGGGAGCACCTGGGGTAAGCGATCCCACACCTGCGAGCCATGGGGCTGCCCAGCGTCGGGATATGTCTCTGGCTTCGTTTTCCTCCTCTGTTGCCGGCAGAGAGCAGCAAAACCCTTCCCCTGGCTCAGCCCAGCTCCTCCCGTTGGGAAGGGGACTGAGTTGGGGATCCAGGACCCAGGCGGGGCGCAGACCCCGTCGCTGCTGCTGCCTTAGCTGGGGGACCACAGCTCTGTGTCCATTTGTCCAGGTGTCCTGCAGCAGGTGATAACTGCAGTACCTGAGGCGCTGCTCCCAGCAGCAAGTGCCTGGGTAGGGGTCTGGTGTGAGCTGGAGCTATACCGCATCCTGCAGACAGACAGATCCTCTTAAGCCCTGTTTGTGCCCAAAGCGAAGGCTCGGCGCTTGCTGGCCTTGCAGCGCTCTGCCCCTCTCTTTGGTGACAGTAAGTGACTTTCGTAGTGGTTTGAACCGAGCCCTTACCTGCCTTGAGCGTTGGGGAGGATGAGCTTCGCACTGAGCGTCCTTTAAAGGAAAGACAGTGACACTCCTGCTGGTTCCTTGTGCCCCCCTGAGCCCATCCCCATGTCTGTGCCTGTGCAGGGCTGATGATCTCGGGCTTTGCCCAGGCCGGGGCAGCCCTGGCCGAGCAGGAGCTTGTGAGCCGGGCTGCGCGGGCGGCTGCCTTCCTGCGGAGACACCTCTTCGACCCTGCCAGCGGGAGGTTGCTGCGGAGCTGCTACCGGGGCAAAGACAATGCGGTGGAGCAGAGGTGAGCAGTGGGACAGAGAGTGTGTCTGGACCGACTGGCCATCCCGCAGGTGCTGCCCAGGCCCCCGGCGGTCCCCATGCTCCTCACCTCAGGCAGGACTGAACATGGAGGGAGGGAGGCTGTTGCCTTGTGTGGAACTGCCTCCGGAGCAGTTTGGGATGGATTAGTGCCCCCCACCCAGTGAGGAGGAATGAAGGTCAAATCCTTTCCCATTCCTCATCTTCCAAGCTGGCAGGAGTCTTCCCCTGCCCTCCCCTGATGTACAGAAACCTGGGGCTGGGCTGTGTGATGACTTGGCACGGCCACTGCTTATCTTAGACCGAGCCCTGAGGTGGCATCCCTTGGGTAGCAGGCACTAACAGGTAGAGCTTTGCTGGGTTGGAGAATGTTTCCCACCTGGCTGGTGTAGAGACCCTGATACTCCTTCCCTATCTCCCACTGCAGTGCTGTGCCCATCCAGGGCTTCCTGGAGGACTACGTCTTCATCATCCAGGCTCTCTTTGACCTGTACGAAGCCTCACTGGAGCAGGGCTGGCTGGAGTGGGCCCTGCAGCTCCAGCACATGCAAGACAAGCTCTTCTGGGACCCCAAAGGCTTTGGGTATTTCTCCAGTGAGGCAGGAGACCCCTCTCTGCTCCTGCGCCTGAAGGATGGTGAGCTTGGGGACATGGCTGTGCTCTGCGTGGGTTACAGTGTGAGGCAGCTTAGGGAGGGCCAAGCTGTGGAGTGGGGAGGTGTTGGGCTGATGGAGAAGAGTTGTCCCCCACAGACCAAGATGGAGCAGAGCCCAGCGCCAACTCTGTCACTGTCACAAACCTGCTCCGAGCAGCTTGTTACTCCGGCCACACGGAGTGGGTGGAAAAAGCCGGGCAGATCTTGGCTGCCTACTCAGAGAGGCTGCAGAAGATCCCGATAACCCTGCCAGAGATGGCCCGGGCCACTGCTGCCTTCCATCACACCCTCAAACAGGTACGGGCTGGGCTCGTGTCCCCTCCTGCACCTGCCGCAGGGCGGGGGCCTGGCTGTGGCATGGGCGCAGTCACAGCTCTCTGCCTTCTCCCTCCTGCTGCCTACGCTCTCCCGGGGCAGGTCGTTATCTGTGGGGACCCCCAAGGAGAAGACACGAAGGAGATGCTGCGCTGCGTTCACTCCGTCTTCAGCCCAAACAAGGTAGAGGTGCCCATCCTGCCAGCCCTGCCAGCCTCCCCAGGCCCCCTTGCAGCCGCTCCCTGCCAGCTGCCATCATGCTGTGTGCTGCCACCTGCATTGCTGGTGCCTTCGTCCTTTCTCCCAGCATGGCTGTAGCATCCATCCTCCTCCTCCTTGGTCCTGCCTGCCTTCTGGGGAGCGTCCTCTCCAGTCCTTATTCGTAAGTGCAGCCGGTAGGGCCATGGCTCAGCCCTTGCACCCCTCTCCCTGGCACGGAGCGCTGGCAGCCCAGCACAGGCAGCGGCTGCAGCAGCAATGCCGGCTGTTTACAGTGCCCAGCCTGAGCTCGGCGTCCCCAGCGCTGCTTCCCCAGGGGAAAAACCTTTCATTCCGGTCTGGATGTGTCATGCCCGGTGCTGATCCAGCTGGTGCTGGGTCACCTTCTGCGTCCCTGGGGAGCGGTGAGGCTGTGCCTCGCTCTGGCTCTGGGTACCCCCGACTGGGAGGGGCTGCCTTTTCCCAAAAGCTTTGCCCCCAGCTGTGCTGTTTTTCTGTGCCGGGGTCACCGCCTCACTCTGCTTGTCAGCATCCCCGCTCAGGGCTGCGTCTCTCGGTGCATCCCACGGAGAGGCCGTGCTGCTGCAGGGACAGAGCTGGCAGGAAAGGGCAGCGTGGCAA